AAAAATAAAAAATTTATCATACTTACGATTTCTTGGTTTCCACAGTGCATTCTATGTCATTTTAGAGTTTTCTACTAGGTGGCATTCGACTGTTCGTCCCTCCCCCAACAGACCTCCTGAAAGGGACGATTTCTTGCCTTTCACAGTGTTTTTTGAGTAGTTTGCAAACTTAACCGCTAGATGGCGCTACTTTTTTCACTCTTTCTGCCCTGTGGGCACTAAGAGGGCCTTTTATAGCAGGCCCATTATGGGTTCAGCCAGGCCCACAATGGGGCGACTGGGTGGTGAGGGATAGGGCCCGACATCTCCAAACGGATCACCTCCTGAAAAATTCCTGGGGATTCCTCAACCCATCCGGATTTGAACACGAGTCCCCCAGAGCAATAGGCTGCCACTTTGACTGCTCGGCCAGCCAGCTGTCAAAAGATGCGGTACTAGCAATCATAGTGTCATCTGCTTAATTTTTTTTCTATTTAGGTTAGGTGAGGTTAGAAAACACTATCTAATATTTGAAGACAAGTTCGCCCAAATAGGAATCACCATTTTTTATTTTTGCGTTCTAGACAATATATTTCCGGCGACCGACCTTCCATTCTAGGCTACTAGCCGCCAAAAAGTTTAAAAAAGTTTTTTTGGTGTTATACGAACGTCTTTCTTGTTACCATCTGTACTTTCTCGGGGGTGTTTCAGCCTTTTATCTACAGAGAAGAGAGCGCTGGAAAATGTAGATTAAACAGGTTCGCCGGAAATGTATTGTCTAGAACGCAAAAATAAAAAATGGTGATCCCTATTTGAGCGAACTTATCTTCAAATACAGTCGACCCCCCTATAACACTGTTGATAATTCCGTTTTACATGAATTCCATATTGTACGAGTCACTTAGATTTTACAAATACAGGCTGTAAACGGTACACATATTTGTAAAATCTAAGTGATTCGTATAAGGAATTCATATAAAACGGAATTATCAACAGTGTTATAGGGGGTAGACTGGATTAAAAAATAAAAAGAACCATCGAACGAAAAAGTTAGGAAGACACTGTTTCTTTAAAAGAACACAAGATATGAGTAACTGTACCCAGATGATGTTATGTATTACAAATGTGTTAATTTGAGTTAATTTAATGATGTGTAATCATACCCAATGGAAGCTGTAAGCAGCGCCACCTACTGGAAAACTTTAAAATGGCCTAGAATGCACTGTGAAAGGCAAAAAATCTTAAGTATAATAACATTCTTATTTTTGGTCTCCAGTCCAAAAATAGGGTACCGTTGAACTCGTCTCGGTACCCTGAATTCAGATATATACTCAAAGCCTCGAAATTCCATGGAGAATAATCTATTTAATCCCAGCGAAATGTTCCTTTAACTTTTGTAAATACTTATCTTTTCCTTTGTGAATTATTTTTAAATTATTACTGTTAATTACACATCCGTATTTATTGCAATGAAATTAACCTCGCGTTAGTGCACTGAGTTTTTTCGGCATTAATGCAGGAGGTGTTTGTCCACCCCAACATTTTTTTTGGTCTTTGAAGCATGTAATTAAAAATTCATAACGTTTTATTCATTTTTTTGGTAAACTCATGTGTCATTATACATATGATTATATTCAGGTGTCATTACATATTATATTAGTACATAAATCCATGAAAATAAAAAACAACATTTATCAAAACTCATTACATTACATCTTATTATAAAACCAATAGTAAAAATCTAAATTGTTTTTTCAAGCATTTTTGTCAATCCGATTCATTAGCTGACATTGTACAGTACTTTGGATCTCAATGCAAATGACAAGCAGCTTGCTATGTTTGGTATTTTCTCAGTGTGTTTACCAAAGTCAGCCATTTTGAATTTGTAAGAGAATAAAACTAATTGAAATAAACTTATAAAAATNATTTATTTGGTAAAGGCATGTGTCATTATACATATGATTATATTCAGGTATGATTACATATTTCATTAGTACATAAATCCATTAAAATAAAAAACAACATTTATCAAAACTCATTACATTAGATCTTATTATAAAACCAATAGTAAAAATCTAAATTGTTATTTTCAAGCATTTTTGTCACTCTGATTCATTTGCTGACATTGTACTTTGGCACTCAATGCAAATGACAAGCAGCTTGCTATGTTTGGTATTTTTGTCAGTGTGTTTATCAAAGTCAGCCATTTTGAATTTGTAAGGGAATAAAACTAATTAAAATAAACTTATAATAATAAACGTGAATAAAAATAATTTATCTATATTATAAATAATAAATGTGGTCACATTATAGTTATTTTAAAAATAAAAAAAACTAAATAAATATTTATAAAATTTAAAAATTTTACTGTGGGGTGTTTGGAAATCCCACTGAAAATTGCAACACCGTTTTTGCAACACCATAGTAATTTCTGAGCATGCTCTATACATAAAATCATGAAGCTACTGAAGAGTAAACAGATATTAGTTGCGAAATTTATGAATTGTGCAACTTTTAAAACGTTTGGGGTGTCGAAATTCCCCACTGCACTAACCGAGGGTTTCCGAAATTGATAAAGAAGTAAATAAAATAAAACATGGGGATAGAAGAGATTTAAAACATCAAATAAAAGGTGACATTAAAAAATTGAAAAATAGCATTAAAAAATGAGATAATGTTAACAGAAGGAAAAAATTATTCAAAAAAGTATAATATTGAAAAAATATATAAAGAAAAATAATTTAAATCTAATCAAAGCAGATAAGACAGACCAAATTATCGTTGTTAATGAAGACTAGGTGGCATTCGACTGTTCGTCCCTCCCCCAACAGACCTCCCGAAAGGGACGATTTCTTGCCTTTCACAGTGTTTTTTGAGTAGTTTGCAAACTTAACCGCTAGATGGCGCTACTTTTTTCACTCTTTCTGCCCTGTGGGCACTAAGAGGGCCTTTTATAGCAGGCCCATTATGGGTTCAGCCAGGCCCACAATGGGGCGACTGGGTGGTGAGGGATAGGGCCCGACATCTCCAAACGGATCACCTCCTGAAAAATTCCTGGGGATTCCTCAACCCATCCGGATTTGAACACGAGTCCCCCAGAGCAATAGGCTGCCACTTTGACTGCTCGGCCAGCCAGCTGTCAAAAGATGCGGTACTAGCAATCATAGTGTCATCTGCTTAATTTTTTTTCTATTTAGGTTAGGTGAGGTTAGAAAACACTATCTAATATTTGAAGACAAGTTCGCCCAAATAGGAATCACCATTTTTTATTTTTGCGTTCTAGACAATATATTTCCGGCGACCGACCTTCCATTCTAGGCTACTAGCCGCCAAAAAGTTTAAAAAAGTTTTTTTGGTGTTATACGAACGTCTTTCTTGTTACCATCTGTACTTTCTCGGGGGTGTTTCAGCCTTTTATCTACAGAGAAGAGAGCGCTGGAAAATGTAGATTAAACAGGTTCGCCGGAAATGTATTGTCTAGAACGCAAAAATAAAAAATGGTGATCCCTATTTGAGCGAACTTATCTGCAAATACAGTCGACCCCCCTATAACACTGTTGATAATTCCGTTTTACATGAATTCCATATTGTACGAGTCACTTAGATTTTACAAATACAGGCTGTAAACGGTACACATATTTGTAAAATCTAAGTGATTCGTATAAGGAATTCATATAAAATGGAATTATCAACAGTGTTATAGGGGGTAGACTGGATTAAAAAATAAAAAGAACCATCGAACGAAAAAGTTAGGAAGACACTGTTTCTTTAAAAGAACACAAGATATNACACAGATTAATATGTACCCCTAAGTCTCTGGAACGGAATACATGCACCAGTGAACCTACAACTACACGATTTATATTTTAAAAATAATTAAATTCACTTAGCATTCAAAACTTGCGAATTTTGAAAAAAACAAATTTGCTGATTAAATACGGACAACTGTTTAACTGAAGTAAAACGGGGTTTCCCCTTGTTATGGATGTCTGCCTAGTTGAGTTCAGCCACATTCCGCTACAGTTCGCCTTTATTATCAGTTCGAAATGAGGTGGTTCCATAATACCCGCAGTGTTCCATAATACCACCTTCTCCTCTATTATTTTATTTTATTATGAATTGAATGGAATTGATAAATAATAATAACAGATAAAAACAAAACCATACATCAAACATTTATTAAAATATTTTAAAGGAAAATTTTTACTTTCGTAATAGCTTTCCCTCTACAGCAATTAGACTTATTTATGACAAGTGTATTTTCTATGAAAAACCAAATTGGTTTATTAAGGGTTTCATAATATCCCACGTTCCTACTCTCACGTATTAATATATACTATACCTCTCTCAATCGGGTTCAAACCTGATTGGTATAATTGTGTGTTTCCATTTCTTATTCCATTTTCACTGATTTTTCGGCAGGGATTCCGAAAATACAGATACGTACTGTACATTTGAATTGTATTAATAAATCTATTAATTATGTAATTATTATCGAAACCCTATGAATTTGTCACAGGTTTTAATTCGATAATCTTGTTAAGTAGCGAAGTCGTGCGAGGATTTTGAACAAAGTATTGCTACGACCCATATCTTTTGTTGTTTGTATGTTACTGTTAATCTCGGAGGTTAAATAATACAATTAATCCAGCATTAGGATAGGGGTGGCCAACAACAGTTTTTGCCCCCGGGCAGAATTGGAAAGAAAACTTTTTCCACGGGCCGAACCAGAGGCTGCCCTACGAAGATTTTGAGGTGGTGCGAGATCTCATTGTGGTGTCACCCCGTAGAGACTGAATTGTAGATAGAGATTACAGATACATTTCCACATTATCATGCTTTATTAACATTCTACGCTGTACTTACGACGAGATTTGTAATGGAGGGTTAATTCTAACAAATTCATCGGGATCGTGACGTCTGCTTATGTATTTTAATGTTTTAAAATAAAAGATAAATTGTCTCGACGATTAAGTTTAGTCTCGGGAGAACATTTTTAAAAACTTCATAAAATATTTTACCTAAATTTCAGGGCTTTATAAATGATTTTCGAATCTTGAAGTTTAGTACTGAAGTAATACTCTTCACAACTCAAATTCATTGCCACTCCTCGCTGCAAACGAAAAAAAAAACGATTCAGACATATAAAATAATAGAGGAGAAGGTGGTATTATGGAACCCCAATTACATTTTAGTGAATTGTAAACAAGGTATCATAACTACACCCACATTTTTTGTGCGAAAAGTACTGGTAACTAGTAAACTAAATGTTCCTAATTGGATTTTTCGCTAGTGTAATTATAAGTATGGTTTTTGAAGGCTTTTGTACAAAAAGTCCGAAAGTAGGCTTAGAGAAAATCGGGTGGTAATATGGAACCTTACTGTATATTTTCAAAAAAATGCTTTAATGTAGCCAAAAACAAATAGGAAAGGACAAAAAATGTTAAATAATTACAAAATTATTTACTCCAATGTATTTTATCGCAAAAATGCTTTTATAATAGAAAAATATGACCTCCATCAACAATATATATTCCAGCAGCTCTTTTTCGATATTTTCAGACTTTCTACCTAGTGTCTTTTTCCCAAATTGCTCCGGACGAATGTCTGATTGCAAAGAGAGAGTTCGGAGGAGTTGAGTTCCATATTACTGTAAAAGCACCAAAGGGGTCCGTATTTCACGCATCGCCATCTCGAATTAACTTATGTCTGTCGAGACCAAAATTTAAAAAACGTGAACATCACACAGATTAATATGTACCCCTAAGTCTCTGGAACGGAATACATGCACCAGTGAACCTACAACTACACGATTTATATTTTAAAAATAATTAAATTCACTTAGCATTCAAAACTTGCGAATTTTGAAAAAAACAAATTTGCTGATTAAATACGGACAACTGTTTAACTGAAGTAAAACGGGGTTTCCCCTTGTTATGGATGTCTGCCTAGTTGAGTTCAGCCACATTCCGCTACAGTTCGCCTTTATTATCAGTTCGAAATGAGGTGGTTCCATAATACCCGCAGTGTTCCATAATACCACCTTCTCCTCTATTATTTTATTTTATTATGAATTGAATGGAATTGATAAATAATAATAACAGATAAAAACAAAACCATACATCAAACATTTATTAAAATATTTTAAAGGAAAATTTTTACTTTCGTAATAGCTTTCCCTCTACAGCAATTAGACTTATTTATGACAAGTGTATTTTCTATGAAAAACCAAATTGGTTTATTAAGGGTTTCATAATATCCCACGTTCCTACTCTCACGTATTAATATATACTATACCTCTCTCAATCGGGTTCAAACCTGATTGGTATAATTGTGTGTTTCCATTTCTTATTCCATTTTCACTGATTTTTCGGCAGGGATTCCGAAAATACAGATACGTACTGTACATTTGAATTGTATTAATAAATCTATTAATTATGTAATTATTGTCTAAATACTATGAATTTGTCACAGGTTTTAATTCCATAATTTTGTTAAGTAGGGGAGTCGTGCCAGGCTTTTGAAAAAGTATTGCTAAGACCCATATCTTTTGTTGTTTGTATGTTACTGTTAATCTCGGAGGTTAAATAATACAATTAATCCAGCTATACCACAAAAGCTCTTTGTTAATTACATCGCTTTGCTTACAGATAGTCTTGACGTACTGTACGTCTAGCTGTATTTTTAAAAACGTCATTTTTTATGTCGTGAAAATTTCGTATATGTTAAAATACTCCCTTTTCTGTGGAATTACACACATTTCCTGTAGCCATTTGGATGCTGTTTATAAAATATCAATTTCTAAAACACTTTTACGGAAAAAAAAATTTGTCATCCTAAATATGTCTGTTCTTTAATTTAAGGGTACTCCTTTTATTAGAGAATAACGACAATTTTTAACTCTAACGTTCTAACTTCTAAATTGTAGGCTACATGTATGCACTCTACTTAAGGAATAGTGGTGTGTTTCTTTAAATTTAAGTAGTAAAACCATCTAGTATCAAAATTGCAAATTGTAATAACGAGAGAAATCTTCATTAACTTCTACTCATCTTCAGCTAGGACATATGACATCCCTTTATCTCCCTATCCCGTCGACCTTTCAACCGCCATCGAAATATAACAGTGCCATTCTCTTTAATACTTGATACCCAAATCATGATTTTTTACTTATAATCATAGGATTTTCAGTGAACGTAAATAAACACGATGGAAAAATATTCCCTGCCCGTTCAGAAAGCTTAATTTTGAAATAATCGATATTACCCCACTCTATTCTTTTTAAAATACGTAAAATTATTCGTCACAACAAATTACTTACGTATGACACTGCAATTTTCCAGACAGGTCTTGTGTCTACGGATTCTAAAATGAAGAAAAACGATATTATATTTGATGCAATGTTAAATTAGAAAATTTAAATAATTATACGATTTTTTGACAGAACATTTTAATGATTTTTTATTCTGAATCCAAAAATCTAAACAGATTCGAAATTAAACGAAGAATTCAGCAGTTATATGTGAAAACTTTATACCTTCTCTTTAAGATAAATACTGTAATTATTTTGGTGTATAAAAAGAAAATATAATTATTATTAGTGTTTTTAATAAAGTTATTTGTCTTCTTTCACAATTATTTATATACCGAAAACCAGTTATTGAATTAAAATAACCGAAGAAAAACACAAAATTTTTAAAGTTCTTCCCTCGGCAATTGGATGTCAAATCGACATCCAACAATTAAACAAATATTAAACTGCTTAACATCTACAATTTACTCAAAATGTCTAACTTCATATTCTGTACTTTATACGAAATAAGACAATTATTTCTCTATGCAAATATAAATTTCTTTCCTTCCGAGCATTTTAAAGGACCCATCGGACACCATCGATTAACGTCTATCTCCTTTCTATATAATTATTAAATTATTTAATGAGAAAATTCAACAAGGTATGTATATTTATGTATAAACTATATTGGAAATTGCACTACATAATTTAAAACATATTAACTAAAGGCGTAATTGTTATAGTTCTTCGAAATTACATTAGGCCTATATATCGAATGACATATAAAGAGATTAAATTAAATGACAACAAATACTCGAATACTCAACTTACAATTTACCTGACACTTTTAATAATATTTTTATTTAAACTATTTTTTTAGTAAATTAACTTTTAAAATGTTTACAGCAGTTTACTTACTTTCGGTCCAGACAATAGGAAAAGAACATAACAGTAGAAATTTCACCAGTTTCATCTTGTATCTTTCTCCGTTGTTATTATAATTACAGTATTCGATATTTGGTTTACTCTGTAGTTTCTAGTATTTTTAATTTACTTCTATTTGCATATTCGACGATTTATTTGTTTGACTTTTATACATAATTCTTATGAAGATGGAATTGAAAATGAATATGAATGGAAATTTGATGTCGGGCTATTTGGTACCTCTCCGTCAAAGTTAATTTATGTGTATAGTATAATACAAATAAATAAGCAAATATCGATAAGTAATAAATATCAAAAATTATATTTTATACTAGATAAACAGAACGTTGTTTATCTTTAAACTCTAACCTGGTAGATTTTTACTTGGGGGCATGCAAACCAGGTGGGCCAAAAGACTTTGCTTGGAATTTAAACTAATATATTAGATCGATAACCGGCACGACTCTATTGCTAACAGAAAAGTATGATGCACAGAGGCAAGACGCTACTAATTTGAAGTGGAAAGCGTATATTATAAATTAAAAAGTAATTAAAAATATTAACAAAAACTGCAGCTCGGCATTGTGAACACGTCACTATAAGTAATTTCTCGTTTTATGTGTACTAGCACGTGTTCGAGAGAAAATTTTAAAGGATAAGTTCAAGATTATAAACAAGTCACTATTAAAAGCACATATTTATTATACTTAAAGTTATTAAATAAATAAATTGAAATTCGTAAATAATAAAACGATGGTGACTTGCACGATTCGATTGTATTTATTTGTTTTTCTTATAAATAATACACACGCACGAATAATATTATTGAAATTTAGTTTATATAGCAAGGTGTTCGCGTGTCAGTCACGGGCGGATCTAGGTTTTTCGAGGCCTGGGGATTATTTAAGTCCAATGGGGCCCCATATACAATAAAACAAATAATAATATAAATTATCATTACTATATTATTAATATTTACTATTTTTACTATAGGATAAGTGCTCATTAATAATGAAAAAGTATTAAAAATTTATTATTTATAATCTGAAATCGTATTGTATAACTTCTTTGTTTCTCAAACACAAATAAGTGCCACAAATTTGGCACTTATTTGGCACTTGGCGTTATTTTATGTTTATTTCGTTGAACTAAATAAAGATGAAAAAATGTCAAGTATTAAAATTTGTGGCACTTATTTGTGTTTGAGAAACAAAGAAATTAAAAATTTATGATAATAATTCACTTTTTGTAGGCACTTGACACTTGGAAACCTAGGGCTTAAGCCCTGTTAGTCCCTACGATGATCCGCCTCTGCATGTTAATATGTGTATGTGTGACTACGTGGTACAATTTTGTTTTCCCTATTTAAAGCTTAATAACTCCTCTGCTTATGGTCAAAATTTTCTGAAATTTTGCAGGGAGGATTGTTTATTAATGCTATTTATGATATTAAATTTCTGTGATTAAAAATCAAGAAGTGGGGAGATAAAGTGAGTCGTGTGTATCTCCAGTAGGATCAGATTATTGACAATTTTACTCGTTATTAGCATTTACAACTTTTTATAAAACCAACCCTATCCTCGAAATTAAGCTTTTAGTCATTTTATAATAATTAAAAATATAAAATGTGTTTAATTAAACTATCGTAACAGTTTGCCTTCACGCGCAGTTTTAAATGTTTGTGGGAAAGTTATGTCACTCATTGGTGGATTTCTTCACTGGTTGTGTGGCGTTCTTTCCTTTTCGAAACTCGTAAATCATAATATGCTCGACACGCTTTTTATCTTGTTTTATTGATTTTACTCAAAAATATGCGAAGTAAAAAGTTTCGAGTAACCTTCTAAGCGAAGAATACGATCTTATATTATCTGTTAACGTTCTATGTTAAATTTTACGAATGTTATAACTAAATTGTACATCTATGTTAAAGCGCAGAAGCACATGTGAAATACTTTGAAAAATGTTTATGACAATTTCGATAAATGAAATTTTTGTTTTTGGCGAGGAGTTTCTCTCCCCAACATCTCTGCTTCCTTTTAACTCGAATTTAAATTACGTGATATTACTCGGCTCTTTTTGAACAATGCAGACAACTGCAATGTCTTTTTTATCACACTGTAATTCCGTGTCGTAAACTGTTGACAACTTATTCTCAGCGACTTCACTGTGTGAAAATTCTACATTTTCCACAACCCTATGCTTAAGAGAACTGGATTTGGTAGGTTTTCACTGTGGGAAGCAGTCTAATTGCTGATGGCGCATTGAGATACATCGGAGTTTCTCAAACTATAGATCACGCCCCAATATTGGGTGGCGTTAAAATTTTAATGGGAAACGATACTTCTAAGAATAGGAACAATAGATGAACCTGTTTAGTAGTAAAAATTTTAACTACTTTTTTTGTTATAATTTAATAATCGTAATTTAATAATAAAATGAAAATCATAGAATGTGAGTACAGAAAATTGCTTTCTCTTATCTATTTTGATGCTATTCAAAATATGTAGTCACATAGTCATTTAATTTGAAATGGTTTTGAAAATATTCCCATTTTATTTAAACTATTAGTTTTATTTTCATAGGTAACAATAGATTATAAGTCTACAACATATCTAATTTATGTAAATAATTTAATTTTTTATAAAATCTACATTATTCAGTTTATTAACTAACTAGCAGGTGGGCCCGGCGTTGCTCGGGCAAAAGTAACGATAACTAAGATAAAGATTATTACGTTACAGTCAGCCTTACCCGTTTTCACAGAATGCAAGAATTGGGTCCCCTTGTTTCCAAACTAATTAGAGAATTTTTAGATAGGTCTAAAAATATGTTCGATTTCCCGCAAAAACGAAAAAAACTGCATCTGCGTCTTGCACGTCGCTTTCTCTTAACAATTCCATTGTTACGTAACACTTCCATTGTTGACACTTCCATTGTTACTTAA